CACACACACACACACACACACACACACACACACACACACACACACACACACACACACACACATATATATACATACATACATACATACATACATACATACATACATACATACATACATACATACATACATACATACATACATACACACACCTGCCTGGGTGACCGTAATTACGGCGACTTGGTTTACAAGTCCCAGCTTGCCCCAAAACGTTTCCCACAGATGAAGATGCGGTAAAGGAACGTCCCAGCAGCATTCTTGCCGATGTTTGGGTCCCGCCTCTCCAGACAAAGTGCTGTGGTGCACCTTGGGCAAGGATCCATATTTGATCATGTCAAATGCCACATGAAATATAGGCCTTGACATTTTGTAAAAAAACAATTAGCAAAAGAAGGGAGTCATTCATCCGTTATCCATTTTCTAATCTGCTTTATCCTCACGAGGGTCGCGCTGGAGCCTATCCCAGCCGTCTTCGGGCAGTTGGCGGGGGACACCCTGAACTGGCTGCCAGCCAATCGCAGGGCACACATCGACGAACATTCACGCTCACAATCACACCAAGGGACAATTTCGAGTGTTAACCTGCCGCGCATGTTTTTGGAATGTATGAGGAAACCGGAGTACACCCAGAGAAAACCCACGCAGGCACAGGAAGAACATGCAAACGCCACACCCAGGAAGGCCAGGGCCTGGAATCGAATCCATGACCTCTGTGCTGGAAGGGAGTAATAATCATGAAAAAAAACCCCAAAACTATTTAATAATATGATTGATTTATTGTCTAATCTATTGCAATAATAGATCGTATAATACAATACAATAATCTGTTTTCAACAACCGCTTTAATACTACCCTAAATAATAATGTGACATATTATTTGGAAACATGCTAAAATATTATTACTTGAAGAAATAAGAATATAAAACAAGCAACAAATAAAACAAAATGTAACAACAGTATCTGGCAGCATAATAAAATATACTATTTACACATGTATAAATATTGAGTGTGATAAGAATTATATATAGTCTTGTTCTTTAAAAATGATCCAATAGAATTACAGATCATTTTATATCGATCATTGTCATCCATAATTTGAAACTTCAAAAGACAAAATGTTGAACGACAAGCTATTAAAAAAAAAAAAAAGCTCATGTTCTAGTTGGACAGACGTCTGCTTGAATGTTTTTTTTTGTACATCCTGGCACTTCCTGCAAGCTTTAATGTCAATTTTTTATTTTTTATTTTTTTTTGCTTTTATACTGGTGTAGTTCTACATTTTTGGGGATTGTTGTTGCACTACTAATATTCTTGTACTTTTTAAATGCATTGCTGCTTTACAACGGCATCTTATTTCTCCATGTTAATGCTTTAATTACATCACGTGTGCGCGTATCATCACGAGACGTTTTTTAATTTTTTTCTTTGGTGCCCACTCAGTGAACAGTCTGGGCATCAGCGACGAGCTGAGGCAGAAGCTCCAAGACGTGATGGTGGACAGACACAAGCTGACGCTGGGCAAGACGCTGGGAGAAGGTACAAAAATTAGCATTCTGCTATCTCATTGCAGCACTTGTTATCACAACAATTGAATTTGAGCGTGAATCAGCTCGGTGGGCCCATTTGAAAAAAAAAAATACTTTAAGGGCCACGCATTGTTTTTTTAAAAATAGACAAATGGGTCAGATTGTTGATAGAACGCCGTGTGGTAATTTCGTGCACTTTCGATCCTTGTTGGTGATGTGTCTTACAGGGGAGTTCGGCTCCGTGATGGAGGGTCAGCTAACCCAGGAGGATTCTGTTCTCCGAGTAGCCGTCAAGACCATGAAGAGTGAGTGGAGGACCACTTTACACCATTCATAACTTTAATATTATACTAATATCCAGTAATACCCCCAAATCACACTTTTCTACTCTTTCTTTAACACCCACCAGCTGATCGGAAAGTAGTAGTTGGTGTCAAGTAAGTGACATATCCCAACAGCACCCTTTTGTGTTGTTGTCCTCACACTTAGGTGCATTTTTTTAAATAATCTGTCTTTGCACCTATGCATCCATACAAACATACATAGTCAAATAAATCTGCGTATAGTTGACGCCCTTTGAAATGCATTGTGGGTAACAAAGATTCAATCTGCAAATATATGTGGTGTCGACCGTCTTATCGAAATCATTTTAACATCGTAACTATCGAATTAGCGATTATCGGGAAGAAGCTAAGTTTAGCCGAGGTTGTTAGCGGATGTTTGAAAGTTTGGGGTGGAATAAGCCCCATTCCTTTTTCCCGGTGGCGGTTTCAGCCTGGCGCCAGCGATTATTAACAGTGGAAAGTCCGGCAATTGGGTTGATGTTGGAGCGTAGCAGCCAACGTTCTATCGGAGCACGTCAATAAATGCTGACTTGTGGCTCTCGCCCCAGTCGCCATCTGCACGCGTTCGGAAATGGAGGACTTTCTGCGAGAGGCCACCTGCATGAAGGAGTTTGACCACGCCAACGTCATGAGGCTGCTCGGTGAGACGCCGCCTCTTTTTGCACACCGGCAGATGCTGGCGGATGAATTTCTTACAAATTGCTTGGAGAAAAAAATCACATCATTTCATTCTTTTTCGTCATTGCCTTTAGATTTCTCACATGAATATTTTTATTTGAGGTAATATCGATTAGAATCGAAACTACATTTTATTTATTGTTATTTTTCTCTAATGTAATGTTTTTTATTGTTTATAAAATAAAACCCATAATAATCCAACTGCACATAGCAGTTGATATGATTATAATTCAGAAATATGATTTGATATTTTGTTATTTATCTACAGTATGCATTTCAATCTCTTCAAAAAAGCTAAATCATTATGCAGGTAAAATGTTTTTAAGTTACCATATTAGACAAAATGATTGTTTATATTTTCGAATATTTTACATGCATTTTATAATGCAATATTTTGATTGCTTATACAGTAAAATATAATGAGAAATGCAAAGTATTAAATGAAATAATTCAGATTTTTATTTTGGCTTTCTTTTTCTGCCCATTTTATATTAATTTTATGTGTGATTTAAAATATGTTCATAAATTATAACACTACAAGCTATATATAATTTTAAATACAGTATGTATTTTTGGTTTGCAAGTTGTCATCATATTCTTAATAAAATACCGTCTGAACAAAAATGTATTTTAAAATTAAAAATTGCCTACATCAGGGCTGTCCAAACTTAAAAAAACCATGTTTTTTTAATCACAATCTTTGGCCGGGCGCAGAATTTCTCTGCGTGTTCAACATGGGTTAAAATTGGCCACCGACAGGGTCCTCTGGTATGTTGATGTGGCGTGTCTTCGCACAGGCGTGTGTCTGCAGACGGTGGAGAGTGAAGGCTTCCCGTCGCCCGTGGTCATCCTGCCCTACATGAAACATGGCGACCTGCACACGTACCTGCTCTACTCGCGCCTCGGAGACTGTCCCGTGGTGAGTGATGCGAAAAACACATTTTGTTAACCATTGACATTTTATGGGGGGGGGGGGGGGGGGGGGGGGCGTCATGTTCAGGAGAATACCTTTGCTGTGGAAGACATGGCGCCGGCCATCTTCATTTGGGAGTTCATGAGCTTGGTCTGAGTATTCATGGAGGTAACTTTGGAGCTGACGGCGTACGTGCGGTTCTTCTGCTTCCTCAGCTGCACCAACTGCTTGGCGAGGATCTTACACGCCTCCCGGTTACCACTCTTGGCCATTTTCTTGATCTCCGCTTCCTGGAGGAGAGAATCAATATTGCAGGACACTTTCCCGGAAAATTCAAGTGGAAAATCTTGCCGGTCGTCTTCAGTGGTGATAATCATGCATTTCTAGTCCAAGCGAATCGATACTTGCCTTGAGTCTTCTACATCAGAAACGCATATCACACAAATAAAAACAAGTATTGATAAACCAACAAACATACCGACAAAGCTCCCAAGGGAATCTCCGCGTGTGTAAATATAGATATTAGAACCGCAGCCCGTCTGGCTGAGGCCACATTCAGTGGCACGCAAATGCACGGCTTTTTAAGCTTTGGTAAACATCAGAATCTACTCGAATACCCTCAGGCATCCAGGTTGTGGGCGCGAGCGTGTGCCTACGCTTCCCAAGAGACGATAGTGAAGGTCCCGGTTAGAGGAAGCTGGCCAGGCCTTTGAGCAGACGTGTTTTTCTTTCATGCGCGTGTGCTGCAAGCATCTTTATCGGAAATCATTAATTATTCATGGCTGAAACTCGGTGCAACAGACAACAGAGTCTGGCATGCATTAGTGTCAGACCTGCTGTGAGAACTTAAAACGAGTACAATAAAATTTGGAGAGAGGAGTAGGTCAGAAACAGAGGGAGAAGGGGATTCTTACAATGCCCGCTGTACCCACCTCAGACAATTGCAGAAGTCGTAATGAACAAAGGACACAATTATGCCTGAAGCAGGCATGGCAAATGGAGGTTTTTGTGGTGCGTAGCCAACACCTGTGAGCCTTAAAGCCAGACAGATGCCTGAACAACAGCTGGAAAACGTGTTGCTGCGGCGGTCATTTCAATGAAGCCGAAGGCAAAGCAACACTGGGCTCAAAACGTGTAAGATCACAAACGGATTGCTATTCATAAATGTGACCGAACGTTTAAAAATGCGGTCGATACCAAGTACCGATACCACCAGTAATCACAGTATAAACATTTCAATGAACACAACGACAGATAATTCTTAATTTGATTCCCCGATGCGTCAAATAGCTGCAGCGTAGCACCAACCGCTCGCAAAGAAGACTAACTGAATGTCAGATTGTTTGATTGATTGATTTATTTGGCTTTTTGGCTGATATTGGAATCATTCAAGAGGACCCGATACTTTGAAATAAGGCCGTGTCATCTCGATGCCAAGACCTGGCTGGACTCAATACTCAGCCATCCCTACTTTTCAAAGGTTTGAAAAAGAGACACGGTAGTTACGCTCTTTGTTAAAGACACGTGTGTCAAACTCATGGCCCGGGGGCCAAATCTGGCCCCCCCAGGTCAATTTATGTAGCCCAAGAAAGCAAATCACACGCGTCAACTTGCTAAGATCTGTACTAAAATGTCAAATTGTCATGTGTAATAAATAACATTGAGATTTTGCGATATTTTGTTTTCACAAGACCAATTCTTACCTAATTTCTACATAAAAAAATCATTTTGATGTCACGTTTTAATTTCTTCTGATGGTTCAGTTTGGACTTGTGGAAGCTGTAAACTATAAATCATCAAAATGTTTGAAAATAAAATCATGAAGCGTTTCACATATAGAGTGCACTTTGTGAATTTCACCACATAAAGTTTTCCACAATATTCTAATTTCGTGAGCTGCACCTGTATTTTGCAATTTGTGCTTTTTTTTTTTTTTTTTTGCTGGAGAAAGTGCAAGCGTGTGCAACTACTCAAATGTAGGTCATTCCCCCGCTCTTAGTGCTAAGTTTCCTCTATTCCTAACATGCAAACGGAGGTTGGAAAACCTCAACTAATTAGTGCAAATGTGAAATTAAAACCTTGTCCCCCCCGGGG